CTTTCAAGTACAGCAAGTACTAGTGCTGAGGCAGGTTTCAACTGATCGATGTAACATTTATGAGACGTGATGTGGCCATCAGACTGCCAGAGGGAAGCCAGTGGAAACTTATGTGGAAGTAGCACAGCTGGTTTTGAAAGCAACTGAATAGTCAATAAGAAAATGAGGCTACGTCTCCCTGCAATTTGGTTTTGGCCTTTCTCATTAGTATCCACTGTCAATACGAATAAAATTGGACAAGAGATGGTGGAACCATGATCGTAAAAAATATATATATATATAAAAAAAATCACTTCCTGGATGCCCATGTTTCTGTACCGAGCCTCGCTTTGATAGTTTTTAGACACAATCTCTGTCTCGTTCTCTATCTCTTCGTTTACCCTCTTCCTCTCTCTACTATTAACCCCTTCATGAACCGTAGGAGAAGTTTCTCGGTGTGCTTGCTGGATTTTACACAAACTAGAGTGCAGTAATTTGGACAAACACTAGTGTGAAATACTTGAATTTTGACACTGAACCACAAAGCAATGTTCAAGAACACTGTAAAACACAGACAACATTTCACACAGTGTCAGTGGTTTCAGGGAGACTCTGCACTGGTTTGGTCCTGATGCAACAGCTGATACAAGCACTTTACCTGTTGCTGGTTCAGCCCTTTAAAAGGCATTATTGCAGTATTCTTAGTAAAGGTTTGCTGTTGATTAAAAAAAGTCCTTAGATCCAGAAAAAATATTAGATTGCTGATTGGATAGCTGGTCTTTCTGCACAGAGTTTGCATGTTCTTCCCATGTGTACACGGACTTGTCTCTACATGTGGTCCGGTGATGGACTCAACTGCCCATGGTGTCCTCCCACCTTGCCTGGTGCTTGCTGGGATTGACCCCAGACTCCCCCGTGACCTTTGCCTGGATTAAAGCTGTAAAAGATCAATGAATGAATGTCAACAAGTGTGTTGCACAATGGACGTGTCATGTGACACAAGCTTAGGAAAGAAAACAAGGCCCTAAGAGTCAGACCAAACTAAAACTAGACACAAAATCTCACCCATTCTCACCTCCCCCGTCCTCTCTCCTCCTCCCATCCCAATCAAATCTACACTGAAGCACAGCTCTTGTGTCCCCTCGTGTCCTTCGTCCACCCACAGCAGTGTACTGTAGCAGGACTGTCTCATCCCTGTGGCCAGAACTGAGCCCGGTTCTCCAGCAGACAGGTGGGGTAAATATAGTCCTTAATTACAACTTTGCTCTCACTGTATTTTTATGGGAAATAGGACTGTGCAGTAATTTGGTCTTGGACAGAGGGAGCAGTACATACTGCATCTGCACTCAGAGAGTGAGTGTATGTGTGTACATGCAAGTGTGTGTGCGTGAGGGTTGTATTTAGGTATTTGCCACAGTTGGGCAGGGTGTGCGTTTGTTTATGTGGCATTTCGTTCTTTTTTTGGCCTCGGCATCGGAGAGCAGATTTAATTGGTGATTTAAATTTGTTGCTATATTTTATGGCAATATAAATGTATTCCGGCAAAAAAAAAGATATATTTTTTTCATATACAGAAATGATGATTAATCTCATAAAATTATGTTTAATTGCAATCAAGGCAAAATTCCTCCACTATGAATAATTGGTTTAAAATTTTTAGCACCAGTAAAACTTCTTATTCTTTTAAGTTTAAATAATATCATTCACAAATCATTAAATCTCTAAAGGGAGACTTTACACGTTGAAAAACATTGAATAAAAGCCATTTTGTTTCCCCTCTTTACTGGACATGTTTCTGCCCTCTCTTTTCCGTAACGTCCCTACACTGGCCTCTTGTTTTTAGACAAGGTTCCTTTACATCTCTGTGCAGTCGGACCTCCGCCCTTCTTTCCTGTGCTGAGCTGCAGGACTCCTCAAACCTCCGCACACAAGAAAACCAGGAGCATTTACTCATCTGGTCTCAGTGGGTTAAGGTGTTTATGGTTTTAAAAACACGGGCCTTTCCTGCACCTCTGCATCTCCTCTCTCCCGCTCTCTTTTCCCTCTTCCTCTGTCCTCGGAGTCTGTGTATTTGCTGAGTATGTGGTTCTGCTGAGTGTGTGTCTGTATGTATAGCATGTGTGCTTCAAATTACAGTGCTGAAAATACCCCTCATAGTTTAGGGTCAGTGCTGGACTGTGGAGCTGTCGATCTGTGGTCGGTGCAAAAGGAGGGAGACGGGGAAAAAGCAAAAGTTTGCTGGACTTGGGGGCCAGATTCCTCTTTTCCATCTCGAGCTTCTGCTGCTTTGGGTGAAATTAGAGAGGACCGAGGGCTGAGATGGGTTTGGATATGAGGACGGAATGATGGGCAGGGCCAAGGAAAAGTAAAGTGGTTTCCCTGCTATAGGTGGCTCATACCATCTTTTATATTCAGCCATAAATTATTCAGACTCCACTCCCTGGAAGGTGTGTGTGTATAAGTGAGTGTGTGGGAATGTGTGTACTGTATATGTGACGTGCCTTTGTGTGTCTTCATACTTGGTTTTAATGTAACTTCAGTTAAGTCAATGTTGTACATCTTGGTGATTTGTCTCTTTGTGCTTTTGAATTCTAGTAAACTGTGTTTGGAAAATAAGAGACAAGTGTTATGTTCAAATCCTCCGTTTTCTTATTAACAAATAAAGAATCTGTGCGTGTGTGTCCGTGTGACTGTTTGACTGTGTGTGAATTAGCAGAACAATGACACTCTTTGACTGCTGCAGCACAGTTTACTTAGTAGCAGTGGTGCAAACCCACAGGGAGAGCTCTGAGCTGAGTGAGGGAAATTAGAAGAGAAATTACTGAGGTTTAAGAATTTTTTTTGTTCCATGTTTCTGATTCTAAATTTAGAAATCCTGATGCTTTTAAGGAACATTAAAAAGACCTCTAATAGGCCTAGTGTTCATTGGCTTTATATAAACATTGTGACAAACCTCTCAATGTAATCTACTGTATGTATGCAGTGAGTTAACATGCAGCAGTGTCTACAGTGAGTCTGGTTTCATTCTAACCAGCATTTAGGTTTCAGAAATGGTCACTTTTTTACTAGTGAAGCAAAGCCATGTAGGGCAGACCTCCTGATGTGAAATCGTTGTTACGTTAATTACACTGATACCGAACTATTTTTAAAGTCGACCTTTGTTCGGCATTTGGATTTATCACAAATAAAAGCGGTTGTTCTTTAGCCTGAGGTAATTATGGACATTTAGAAGAATTGGATGATATTTGTACACAAAGACATGGAGGAATTCTTACATTTCATCATGACAGTGACCCAAACAATGCATCTAAATAACACAAGAATAAACCCTAGTTTTGGAATGTTGTGGTCTGAGCGCAGACCTTAACCCAATTCTAATTCTGTGGTGTGAACAGGAGATGCCTTCACCATCAGACAGACTGGGTGAACTTCAATATGTGAAACAAATACAGTTTCAACCTGATAAA